CCATGACCGGAATTGAACCTGGGAACCTTTCAGTCCGCAGGCCGACGCTCTATCCCCTGAGCCAAACTGGTTTCGGCAGGTTAGGCAATTCTTATTCTGAGCACATTAGGCCCATCTTTGTGTGGACTCTGGAGTTCCTTGGAGCAATCTTGGTTGGGGGTGTGTGGCATCGCATTCCACGTGGATCCATGGATTGATTGGCAGACCAAGAAATCACCAAGCTCTGGGTGTCGGATTAATTTAACTCACATGAACCGTGAGCCCACGCTTGGCTGGGATTTGAGTCTGGGTGACATCCAAGATCTGCAGTCAGGGGGGGGACTGGGGAAGCAGGAAGAGAAGCGGGTCTCGTGCAGTGGCCGGCAAATGGTGGCCCGAGGGTCAGGCCCGGCCTGCCCCCTGTGTTTGCACAGCCTACGAGCTAAGAATGGTTCTTACGCTTTCCAGTGGTTGGAAACATCCGAAGAAGAGAATTTCCTAACTTGTAAAAATTAAATGAGATTCAGTTGCAGGGCCCATCAATGAAGGTTTATGGGACCACAGCCGCCATGCCCATCCGTTTATGAACTTATTGTCTTTGCCTGGCTGCTCAGCGGCAGAGCCGAGGAGCTGTGACAGAGACCATATGGCTCCCCGAGCTGAACGTTGTCTACCTTCTGGCTCTTTGCAGACGAAGTTCGCTTTTCCCTGCTGCCATTCATTTTTATGAGTGTAGTCTGGGGGAGGAGGTGAATGAAAAGGGAGCTTTCTGAGTGTTCCCTAATGTGCTTTTACATGTATGAGTCCACGTGATCCTCACAGCAGCCATGTGACTGAGAACTGTTATCCTTGTTTTCCACATGAGCTAAGGGAGAAGCACCCGGTCAGAAGGGAGCAGTGCTGGGATCTGCCCCGGGCACCGTCTCCAAAGACCGCCAGGAACCAGGGCGCAGTGAGGATGACAGGGCGGGGCAGAAGCAGCACCGAGGCAGGGAAAGGTCATGAACAGAATAAGACTCAGAAGCACAGGGCTGTTAAGAAAGAGCCTCTAGCCAGTGTGGCTCGTGGATAGAGCATCGACCTGGGGACTGAAGCGTCTCGGGTGTGATTCTGGTCAAGGGCATGTACCTTGGTTGCAGACTCCTGGCCCTGGTCGGAGTGCATGCAGGAGGCAACCCATCGATGTCTCTCTCACATCCATGTTTCTCTAGCTGTCCCTCCCTCCTCCTCTAAAACTGGAAAAATATCCTCGGGTGAGGATTAAAAAAAAAAAAAAAAAAAAAAAGGAGGAGCCTCCGGGTGGAGGGTGTTCTGTGGGGAAAGGGAGGGAGCTGGGAACGGTTGGTATGCACTGAGAATGGGAGGAGCTGAGCCCAGAAACTACAGTTGGACTGGCTCCTTGGTGTGACAGCTCTGACTGGCAGTGCCTAGAAAACAGGCTGCTGCCCTAACGGGTGTGGCTCAGTGGATAGAGCATCGGCCTACAGACTGAAGGGTCTCAGGTTTGATTCCAGTCAAGGGCATGTACCTTGGTTGCAGGCAAATCCTGCACACACACACACACACACACACACACATATATATATATATATATATATATATATATATATATATATATATATATATTTTTTTTTTTTTTTTTTAAAGAAAACAGGGTGCTGCTGGTGCCCAGCACACCTTCATGCAGTGGGGTCCAGTGAGGCTGGCTTGGGGTGGGGTGCAGATCATCCCGGTCAGTCCAAGTATGAAGAGCTTGCTTACTCACACTCGGTCTCTGGACGCTCCCTCTGGCACTGAGCCTGGCCTCCTCAGTGGTCATTTTCAGCTACACTGTCAGGCCTTCATCCTGGGGGCCTGGCAGGGCAACCAGAGCCGCCTCTGTGCCAAGTATTGAACTGGGCATTTATGTGTGACTAAAGGCACGATCTGTGGCTGAGGGCTTGGGAATCAAGGTCAGAGAACAACCTGAGTTTAAATGCTGGCTGTCAGTTGCTCTGTGACCTGGGGTGGGAGGGTGCCTCTCACCTCTGTGAGCCTGTTTTCTGTTTGCCGTCTGTAGGAGGGGGACAGTAAGAGAACCACCCTCGCAGGTCATGCTGAGCATCAGGCTCAGAGAATGGCAGCTCGTATGATGTCCCCCTTAGTCTTCACAGCCCATTTCACTGATGAGGTGACAGGCTCGGAAATTTGCTCAGGATTGGCAGTGACCAATGGAGGAGCTGGACAGTCAAAGCTCAGGTTCTCTGCCCTTGACCATGGCAAGAGAAGGCATTCCACCTTAGTGTACCCATGTCCTGCCCGGCTTTTCCCCCCACGGTCTGACGGGCATGGCATATGGAGGTGTGGAAGCTGGGGATATTGGGGGCCAGCGGGGGCACCTCTACTTGCTGCTCAGGCCTCCAGGTGAGTGCTTTGGAAGCAGCAGCTGCTTGCTTTGTTGTTCCACTCCTGCCGCTGTCCAGACACAACCCGGGGTCTCAGGTGGGGAGCAGGACCTACATGTCTCAGGCCGCTGGTTCAAGGCCAGGTTCTCTGCAGTGTGACCCGCTGGCAGAGTCTGTGGTGGCCACAAAGCTCCCTGTCCACAGCGGCTCAGCACTCCGGAGTGGCTCTTTTCTCCGATGCTCACACCAAACAGCCCAGGCCTCCATCCCACACAGTCCATAGCCCTGCAATTTACCCAAGATTTCACGTAGGTGGTTTAGAGGGTTTTAAAAAAAATCCAGTTCCGAGTGTGCCTTTAACCAGAACAGTGTGATTACTGATATTCATGTGAATCTAAAGTCATCGTGGGCTTTGTTTGTCCCTCCTGGTCTGTTTTTCTCCTTTATCACTTTTTGTGCTTGTTTGGAGGTGAAATGCTGTTTCTGTTCATTTAGGTGTTTCCCTCTTGCCTGGGGTTTCTCAAGATACCTGACTGCCATGAAGTCAGCCTGTTCCCACTGATTCCTGCTCCCATTAACTCCCCCCTGTGCTCACTTCTTGCCTCTTGTTTGCTGTTCTTCCCCCTTCTCTTCATGCAGTCACTACTGAGGCTGCAATCACCTTTTACTCACCCCACTGATGGCACAGGGTTGGGGTGGGGGGAGGGGACATTCACGTTGCTAAGCTTCTTAGAGCCCCTTGGCCAAGAGGATATTCATCCTGCACATTGTCCCTCCTTAGGTCCTAGCCAGTGCCCTCTAACTCTAGGTGTTTGGTTTTTTTCACAATCTGTTGCTGTTTTTAATCCTTATCCCAGGGTATTTTCCCATTGATTTTTGGAGAGAGTGAAAGTGTCAGGGGAGAGACAGAGAGAAACATCATCATGGGAGACAGAGACATTAATTGGTTGCCTCCTGCATATGCCCCAATGAGGGCCAACCATGGAGCCTGCAACCTAAGTACATGCCCTTGACCAGAATCGAACCCAGGACCCTTCAGTCTACAGGCTAACGCTCTATCCACTGAGCCGAACCAGTTAGAGCTAACCCCAGATCTTCTCTCCCGGAGTCCCACCTGCTGCCTCACATCTTCCTACTTCGCCCAGGTTTCCCCCCTGGACTTCTTGTCATCCGACCTAAATTCAGTCTGCTTGCTTGTTCACTGTCTCCCACTGAGCTCCACCAGGGTCTCCTTTCACCTCCGCACCCTAGGGCCTGTGGCTGGGCCTGGCACACAGCAGTGAGGACAACAGGGGCGAGGGTTTGCTGAACTAATGGGTGAACGCTGGCAACCGTTACCTCAGTGGGAACCGTTACCTGTCAGTCCCAGTGCGACCGGCGCAATAAGAGGAAGACAGTTCTCTTGGGATTTCCCCTCCCCACCCCGAGGTGCAGGGGCGTGCACTGCCCACCCTCTGGGTCCCAAAGACCCTCACAGCTGAAAAACCAGACTCGGGGAGCAGGGAGAGTAACGTACTAAGGTTTTTAATACAGTCTGATCAGATCAATTCACATCACGAGGTCCACCTGGGCTTGCTCACACGTGACACAACTGAGGTACATAATGTCCCCGCCTGCCAGCTCTCCTATCTCCCCGGCTCCCCAATAGCACTAAACCCCCTACCTCCCTGACCAGACTGGCATTTTTTTTTTTAAATTTTGCATAAAACTATTTCTTCCATAGACTCCAAACAATCAACTAGCCAAGTTAATTATGGTACATCTAAACAAAGTTTAATACTAACCCTAACCTGTGACTGCGGTTTACAAAGAGCTCTGTATCACCTGGGATAGCTTTCAGTAGCAATTCACTACAACTGGTCCTAAAAAATAACAACAATAATAATAATAATAATTAGAGAATTAAAACCCAACAGCAAGTTGAATGGTTAAAATCACGTTAAGAACTAGAATTTTGGGGTGGGAGTGTCCTCAACAGCTAAGCTTGTCCTAGAAGCAAAACGCTAGACTCCAAGCAGGGCTCCGAACATTCTGGGGCCCTCCGGGTCAAGGGTCAAGCTCAGGGGGGGGCTCTTGGAGGACACTCGCCCTCTGGTCCATGGGATGCTGTAGGCTTCCAGCTTCCTTAAAGACAGTGGGGCGTCAAGAGTTGTATACGTGGGTGGAGACCCTACTGTGTTCTCTCTTAAGGGATAGGAGATGGGGGAGTGAGGGGTTAGAGAAGTGGGAGGGGACCAGAATCACCGAGGTCCCAGAATGCCATCAGCTGTGGGTCTGGGATGGGGGTCACTAAGAACTGAGAGCACCAGAAATTCCAGCTTCTGCTCACTGGAGAAACTGGAACCCTTGTTGCCTTGAAGGCCCTTGATGGCCCATGTAGTGTTTCCTGCCCTTGCCCCATCCTGGGCCTCACAGACATGTCTGCAGAGTATCGGACGGGGATCTATCTAAAGACCACGGGGGTGGGGGGGGGGGGTGGAGAGGGGATGGGACGATAAGGTGGGAGGGCGGGGTTTAAAAAAACGAATAAAAATCTCTCCGCTACAGAACCCAAAGACATCACTTCCCTCCGCATTCACAGCATTTCTCAGCAGTCCCCGAACGGACGGCCGCCTCCACAGGGACGTGGCCTCTGCCTCACTTCCCCTCTGGCCCCATGGGCTGCTGGTCAACCTCGGGATCTACTAGAGACGATGCGAACGCCGACTGCACAATCTGAAACCCGAAGGACTCGAGGAGAGACATGTTCTGCTGGGGAGAGAAAGGTGAGCCGAGGGCGGGGCCCAGGTCCCCCAGGGGGCCCCCGAGAGCCCGGACATGCACCTTCTGGATGTGTTTGTTCAAGTAGGACTTGGAACGGAAGAAGCTCCCGCACTCGGGGCAGGGATACTTCTTCTCCCCGTCGGACTCCATCTTGTTTTTGGGGACCGCCATGTCGCAGGAGAAAGAGCCGTTGGTGTTCTGCTTCTCCGGAGTCTTCAGGTCGCTGGCATCCGAGAGGTCACCGTAGGAGTCGGAGCTCTCAATCGGATCCTGATGTGAGCATTTCTGGCCTTCTAGGAGAAAACAAAACACAGAGGCGGGATGAGGCCGGGCTCCAGAGAGGGCCCCGCCTGGAGGGGCTGGGAGGGACCAGCCACAGGCCTGTGGAGGGCGGTCGGCAGCCAGCCACGGTGCTGGCAGAACCCGCCGAGGTCTGGCTGGTCAGCCTGGGGGTCTGACCACCTACGGGGCGAGACAGCAGGGCCCTGGGGCTGAGGACTCTTCATGCAGGTGCGTACGTATCGCGCATCACCATCTCAGCCTGCTCCAAGGAAGGTGGTTTCGAGAGGGGACCTCCACTGCTTCTCCCCAGAACAACACCAAGACCCCCAACTCCCAGGCCCTAACTTGGGTGCCTCTGAAGGAAACGTCTGTTCTGATGATGCCCAAACAGGGGTGTCAGTGTGGCCTCACCTCTGCACCAGACTAGCTGCACCCTAGCAAGGCGGAACCAGAGCCGGGGATCCCCAAGTCAGCAGACACCAAGATGGTGGAGACAGAAGCCAGTCCTTTTCCCAGTGCTGCAAACACAAGCCTGCCCTCGCCACCTGCCTTCTGCCAAAACCTTTCCTGGGCCGAGTGGCCAGAGCACACAGATTAAAAGCACCTTGGAACAACTCAGTTGGCAGGCTGGGCCCGCACAGAGCCCAGGACAAGCCAGACCGCCAAACACCCCTCACTGCTCTGCCCTGCCCGGCCCACAATGGAGTCCTCCACAGATCAGCAGCCTCCTGCCTGGGGTCAGAGAGCCATGCCGGGAAGGGAGGTCTGTGATGGGAGCGTGGAGCATGCCATCTCTGCCATCCGCCAAGCCTCTGGCATCATCCCCAAAGCAACCACAGCTTAACAATACCACAAAACAACCCGAACCAACGAGTGAAGGTGGGGTGTAGGGAGCTCTACGCAAACCAAGCAAACCAACTCGGAGTCGGAGGCCGTCAGGTAGGTCAATGCTCGCCATGCACCTCACAGACACAGCCAGAGGCCCTCTGGAAAGGGCGCTCCCAGCAACCAGCCACACCTACGAAGGGGGAAGCCAGCCCTGGGCTCCCCCTGCCAAAGCAGGACCAAAGGAGAAAGCATTCAGCTACAGCTCCACACCACCCTTCCAGGGCCACAGGCGCCAGACAAGCCCGAAGTAACTCATCATGCAGGGCTCCTCCTCCTGCCCTGGGCCGGGGCACGTGGCAGGGCTCCAGACAGCAGGGGCTGGCCAGGAGGCGGGGGCTGGATCATGGCAGGGCCCTCAAGCCTCACTCACTGCCCTGGAGTGAGATACCCACTGTGACTCTGTCCTGGAGGCCACTGCCACTCGGATCACTGAGCCTCCTCGAGGCGGCCAGCAAGCCGGCAGCCTTCCCTCCTCCCCGCACCCGGCCCAGCGCCCCCACAACACAGTCTGCGCAGAGAAGCAAAGTGCAGAGCAAGGGGTCGCTTGCCTTTGTTGCCATAGGTCCTGGCGCAGTGGAACGCTGCTCCCCCATTCGGTATGGGCTCCTGGTGCCTGGAGACCTGGGGAAGGGGAACACCGTGGTGGGTTTTAACATGGACCTTTAAGTAGGAGGCAGAGGAGAAACCTAAACAAGACAAAAGGAGATGAGATCCCGCGGCCAGCACCGAGACACCTCTCTGCTTCCCCCGCGCCTCTCCTCCGGCCGCTCTGGCTAGCATTCCCAGGCCAGCTGCACCTAGAAGGGGCCCTCCTTGGCTCAAACACAGCTGCAACCACAGGAGCCCTCTGGCTCGGGAGCAAGGATGGCACTGTCCTCGAATTGCTTCCTCTGCAGAGCCCACTCTGCCAGGCTGCGATGGAGGTTCCCAGGCCAGCTGCCTGACGGACAGCTGTCAGGTTAAAGGCCAGACGCCTCTAGGCTTGCTTGGCACCTCAGTAAGGAGTGGTTTGCGTGGTCCCACAGCCCCGGTTCAGCTGCAAGGACCACAGCTAGAAACGGAGTCAGAAAAGCATCCGGGCTCCCGGGCCACCGGCCAGCAGAACGCTCGCTAACACTCGTGAATGGTACCACCGATCAGATGGAGGCGAGATGAACTCCCAAAGGAATGCCTCCAGAGCAGCCCTGCTTTTATTTCTTAGGACATGTTCTAAGTTGCTACAACTTCACCTTCAGAATAACTGGACTTAGTAACTGCTTAGACGTTTTGATGAAAAAGAGGACGTCACATTTAAGAGTGTAGCCATCTCTTATTGATGGTGGCCTTTTGGTTCAGTTTTGGAGCATCCATCGGATTCATTTAAGGAAAAAGCAGGGATGATCTTTGCCTCTATTTGGGGGGGGACAGTCCAGCCATCTTGGGGCCACTCCAGCCCAACCCAGACGCTCCGGTCAGTTTGAGCTGTGTCATCTCTCAGGCTGGGAAGAGGAGATCTTGGGCCAACTTCTGCACCACCCACAAGCCTGCAGATATGGAACCAGGTAGGCAGGTCAGAGGGTTTCGGCTTGGGTTTCACAGGAAGAAGCTGTGTCATCAAACCCCATTCATGGCCAAGGATCAGCAAGTGCCTTCGGCCGGAAGCGAAGCTTTGGAGCGTGAGGCCCACGTGGGGTGCCAGTGCCTTGATGATGTCCTTTCATTCACTCAGACCTGGCTGACATATTCTCAGGTACTGTCATCCCCTTTAAAATTACAGGGTAACAATGGGATCCATGGCTAACGGGTCAGAGGCTGGAGAGCGCTGCATGATGTCTGCACAAGACTCACTTTAAGAAGTCTGACTTGGCATGGCCTTTGGAACGACAGTAAAAGTTACCATTGAGCTTCCTCATTTCCAAGCTCCAAGGGTCCTTCCTTTACTTCTAGAACTTGTTTCCTCAGCCCATTTCTCCTAAGAAGTACGTTTTCTACCTAATTTACCCGGTAAATGTTCTCTTGCCAAAAAAGAAAAAGTTCACCTTCAGCAGGTGGTGATGGTGTGCCAGCCAGCACGTTGCATGCATTATTCTGTAGTATTCCCCCAACTACCTTCTGAGCTGAGAATTATACCTGTTTTATAGATTAAAAAATAAGAGGCTTGGTGAGGTTAAGCAACTTGCAGTCCAGGTACAGACTGGACTGTATGGCAGAGCCTGGACTCCAACCCCAAGGCCACGTAGTCTTTAACCACTAGACAGACTTTTTTTTTTAATTATTATTATTGATTTCAGAGAGGAAGGGAGAGGGAGAGAGAGAAACATCAATGATGAGAGAATTATTGATTAGCTGCCTCCTGCACACCTCACACTGGGGATCAAGCCCGCAACCCGGGAATCGAACCATGACCTCCTGGTTCATAGGTCAGTGCTCAACCACTGAGCCACACGGGCTGCGTGGGACAGACTGCTTTTTAATGTGTATTGGCCCTGGCCCTAGAAACAGCCCATGGACTTTTGCAATAGGTTTTGTGGTCACCGTTTACAATCATGTATCTCTCTTCCATTAGAATGGAAGCCGCTAAACAAACACTCCCCTGACAACGGTGCTTGGTGGTTCTGGAGGGAATGGGGGAATGAGTGAATATTCCTCCTTTCCTGACACAGCTCCTTCACAGACCCACTTGGGCCAGAGGCCAGTGTCCTGCCCTGCCTGGCAGAGCGAGCTGTCCAGTGCTATGATGAGGGGGTCTGCCTGGGGCCAGTTACAGAGCAGCCTGGCTTATCTTACAAACATTCCTAAGAGGAAGGATGTAGTCAGGAATGAGTCGCTGAGGCTCCTGGGAAAGAGGATCTCAGCTCCCTCCTCCTGGGTGCTGTGGCCCCAACAACCAGCACAGACATCAGGGACTTTCTGATGATTCCACTTTAGAAGGGAATTTTTTTTCTTTGTTTTTTTTTTTAATCCCTGCTGAGGCCTCTGCAGTGGTGTGGTGTCCCCCAGGCTGGTCCATGGAGGGAAAGGGCACCAGGAATTAGTGTAGTTACTCTTTCTGGGAAGAGCTATGTACCAGGGGAACCCAGCAGATGCTCAATGAAAACTTGCTTCTTTTTCCTGAAAATCAGGCTGAGTAACACATGGCTGGGTCCTCTCCCCAGCTGCAGCCGGTACTATCTATAGCAGAACCACATGGCAGGGTGGGAGGAGTGGATCTACAGCTGCCGCATGAAGCCCAGAATTTAAACACAGAGCAACTCCTAGCAGCCAACTGTTGGGCTAAAACAGAAGCCGAGTTTCTGAGAAGAAAACATCTTTTAAGTCAGAAACATTCCGTTGGAATTCTGAACTCACCTGCCCATTCACCACTGATTAACCAAGAACCAACAAGGCGGCTGGATCCAGGCACAGAATGATGGGAGATACTGAGCACACACGTGACTCCGCTAGAACCAGCAAGCCGCCCTCCCTCGCGTTCTAGAGATGAAGACGTCATTGCCAAAGGGCTATTGTGCTCCCTCCACTGCATCTCGTCTGCTGCGCTGCATTTCACACTCCAGAAGCAAATCCCTTCTTTGCAAGTTTCACGTCCACGCAGGGGCCGGGGACTGCTTTCTCCTTGTCCACATCTTGGTGCCAGATGGGGGCACTAGTTGGTTTGTGTCAGCTCAGAGAACCAGAGGGTGGCAGGCCGTCTGCGCCCAAGACTGGCATTGTTAACAACTTGTATGCCCACCTCTGGAAAGAAGACTTCCTCTACCTTTTAAGCAGTGATGTCGGGGACCCGATGTTGTCTCTGTCAGAGGCACGTTCTCAATGAGCAACCCCTCTTCCTCACATCAGTACTTATGCATACACACTAAGACCCTGCTACAGAAATTTTAAAAGAATGGTAGAAAACTATGGTGACCTACTGGATCCTTTTCTCCCTCCCGCTGATCAACTTAACTGATATCCTCAACTTGAAAATGAAAGAACAAACTTTTCTCACCATCTTCCCACTACAAATTATCTTCCTCTCCAGAAGGTCTGACCCACATCTTGGTATGTCTCTAGGACAAAGACAAGGTCATCTGTCTCAAGTGTGGGACTAAGCAGCCAAGCTGCCTCTAATCTTTCCCATCCTTCACAGGCAAAGACTGAAAATGGCAGGTGCATAAGTAGTTGACTGCTTAAGACCCGTGGTTGGCAAATTGCGGCTCTTGAGCCACATGCGGCTCTTTGGCCCCTTGAGTGTGGCTCTTCCACGGCCTTGGACAAGACTATTTTCAAGAAGTGGCATTAAAAGTTTAAATTTAAAAAATTTGGCTCTCCAAAAAATTTTGAATCGTTGTACTACTGATATTTGGCTTTGCTGACTAATGAGTTTGCCGACCACTGGCTTAAGACTTGTTGGGCCCTGGCAGGTGTGGTGCAGTTAGTGGGAGCACTATCCCATGCACCAAGGGTTGTGGGTTCGATCCCTGGTCAGGATGCATGTGGAAGGCAACCAACTGATGTTTCTCCCCTCTCCCTCTTCCTCTCTCTGGAATCAAAAGACTTGGAATTGAAGGATGTCAGAGGGCATTTGGAAATTCATTTTATCCAATCTCAACCATCTGACCAGCTGGCTGGCATTAGCCTTTGTTCAAACCCTTCTAGAGTTAAGAACATCCATTTATTGGTTCAGCTTCTCCCTGAATTCTCAACGTTGGTGGCAGGTATGAATGATCCAGAGCTATCTGCGTTCTGGTTCCAGTGCCTTGATGTCTTTGGTGTCATTTTCTTCCTTGAAAAAGTGCCTTCCTCCTTGATGTTCTTTCCTTTTTTTTTTTCCCCCCTTCCAGTTGGTTCTCTTTATGCCAAAGAAATTAGTCCGGAGGTAGAATCCTGTTCCTTCTCTTCCAATAAAAAGTTAAATGGTCTTCTCTTCCTTCTGAATACCCAGAGTAGGTTGGCCCAGAGCCCTCTCTTATCTCCTTAAAAGAATGGGACTTCCTGCTCTGACTCAGACCCAAAGCTGTTTAGCTTATGATCCAGATGCAGTCTTGTCTTCTCGGAGATAAGGTGGCCTCTGCTTTTACTCTTCCGTTGTCTCCATCCCAGTCATGTCGCCTGCGGGCTGTGGCCCAAGGCCTTCGCCAGCCCCAGGAAAAACAACTCCTGACTGTACAATAGTTGTTGGCATTGCCACATCAGCGGGTCTTGTAACTGGGCCAACTTGCCCTGCTGTTCCCTGCTGCTCTCAGCTCTTCTTTCCCGGGGAACTGAGCCCCAAGAGGCTGTGCACAGCTCTGTACCTCCCACCAGTCCTCACTCCCCTCTGCAACTCTAGGCTTTCTGGGTTTCCTCATGAGCATCTTTCTCCACTCTCACTGGTTCCTGCTCCTGGGCTCTGACCGGTTCTCAAGCTGAGAACGGCAACCCTGAAAGCTTGACCAAAGGCCAGAGGATGGCACGTTGTGGCAGGATTAGAGGTATTTGGGGGGTGCTGTTAGCAAGCCAGGTTCGGATGAAATAAGACAGGAAACTTTTTCTAGAGAGGGGGCAGCCACGGTCAAGATGGTCAGCTACACCCCGATAATTCCCTGTGTGCACAACCCCGCCACCTGCTAGCCGGGGAAATTCCTGCCGGAAGGGCCCTATGGACGTGTCAGAAGGTAGGACAGGTGCTTAAGCGGCTTTTGCCTCCCTGCTTCCCCAGCAGGGTTCTTGGGGATGCAGAGAGTGACACCCAGTGGCCTTCAGGCAAACCCCAAGCGTGCAGTCTCAGGGAGGGGTAGGGAGAACACCTCGCTGCTCAGCAGTCTCCCCCACAGCGGCCTCAGGGCGCACGGAGGCCCACAGGCACCCGCATTCCAGCCAAGGACTGCAGGAATGTTTAGTTCTCTCTGTCCCAGCCAGGGTGTTGGGGTGTGTTTCCTATTAGTTACGAAGTGTAAGAACAGGCCTCTCCCTTAACCTCCATCTACTTTGTGTGCCGGGATCCTCACAACGACCCTGTGAGGTGGGCAAAGGGGGGGAGGGTGTTCTTAACCCCATTTAAGAGATGAAGAAGCTGACGTTCAGAGAGAAAGGAAAGCTCGAGGTCACGCAGTAGTAGGGTGAGGTGGGAGCGGCTGAGGGGGAATTAAGCCCGAGACCCCCGATTCCTGGTTCAGTACTCAGTCCACTAAGCCACAGCCAACACTTCCAGAAGCACTGGGACCAGGCGTCCCAGGACACAGGACTTCCCAGCATCCACACCGGGCCAAAGCGAGCACACCGTGCAGAAGCATCCTCGCACCCACTGCCGACAGCTGCCCAGCCTCCTCCAGCAGAGACGCGGCGCCGGCTCCTCCACTGACACTGCGCGTGCAAACACAAACCTCAGCCCTGCCAACAGCTGACAGGTCCTGGCGAAAGCTCGGATCCAGGACAGGCCTGACTTCACCCAACACAACACTCAGGCCGGAGCCAGAGCCACCTCGGCCAACGTCAGCAGCAAGCACGCGCTCCTGCTCAGAACACCTCCACTCTCCTTCCTCGTCAAGGCCACAATCTGCCTGGGTTTGGGCTTGCTCCTGATCATTGGTGCTACACGCAGAGTTTCTTTCCTGACCCTTGTCCATCGCTAGGCTCAGCCTCCTTCCCTGGCTGCTGAATTCCACCTGCCAGGGAACCAGCCAGCAAAGCTCTCCAGGAGGTGCCCTTTTCTCCCCCCGTGGGGTCTAATGTCTCTCTCACCAACATCAATGCCTCCGTGGGCTCTCCAACTGCACCCACCTGAGCAGATGTTCCGGGCCCAGCTGGAAACAATCCCCTGCCTGTTCCCACTGCTGATCTCTTGGGAACCCCCATTCGAAACACCCTAAGTCTCCTGGGACGGAAGGGGTGGCAAGCAGCTAGCTGGGCGAGGACCGCGTTTATCATTCAGAGGGAAGGGAAGGCGGGGGCCGTGTGCAGAATGGAGCCTGAGGCAGGGTGGTCCGGAGCCCCCAGCCGCCCACGCGGGCTCAGGCCCCCCCTCCGGAAGTGAGGGGACCGCAGGGAGATTACCTCGGTTACAGATGCTGCAGAAGTTGCTGGGCCCCTCGCTGTGCTTCTTCAGGTGGTCCGCCATGTACGCTGCCCGCAAGTACTTGCCGCACACCTGGCAGGGCACTTTGTCCTCATGACAGGCCAGGTGGGAGCGCAGCCGGTCTCGGGTGGCAAAGGAAGCGTTGCAGGTCTGAGGGCAGAGAGGAAAACAGGATGAGGGGCGAGCTGGCATTCCCCCCGACTCCACACCCAGCGCGCTGTGGGACTAAGCCGTTTCTGGCCGACACATCCGACTCCTCGCACAGAGAGCTTTAGAACACAGCCCAGGCGTTCTCCCCAGCGGGCCAGCTCGCCGCTCTGATTTCCCACACGGGACCCTGGAGTTGGAATTCCTGGTTCCCATGACTACCCCAGCACGGCACACTATGCTCCCCTACAGAATGAAGATGAGGCATTTGTTCATTTGTAAACATTCAGATTGACATCAGTTACACTGACTACACGGGAGTCTGCACAAGAGTTACTGGCATATAAACAGACCAGTCTTCCTATTCTCCATCGCTGCTTTATACAAAGAATTCAATTTATTCACTTTATTCAAAAGCGACTGTTTGTCTTGGCCACAGGGAAATGAGAAAGAAAGGCAAGACCAAGCCCATAGGTTACTCCCGTGTTCTCGTGAATCAATATTGAAAAATTTCACCCATAAATTTCGCTCGTGTCAGTGCTGCTGACACGAGAAAGAGCAGAGAAAGAGCCAGAGGTTTCGGGAGCATTTGTGAAATGTTAAGTTGGGTAAGTGCTGGCAATAACAAGGAAGGCGATGCCACCCTACACTGATGGGGCACTCACTCCGTGCCAGGCGGGCACCATGCTTAGCCTTTCAGAGGCGCTTATCTCACTCGGTCCATCCTTACGGCAGCCTTCCGGGGCAGGCTGTGTTATCACCTTCCCAGAGCGCGGTCACAGAGCTGTGCTGTGACCACCAGCTCATGGCCAGGTCCCAGGGCCAGGTGACTCGGGTGATCAAGGTTTGCACCCACACCTGCACCCTGAAAGGAAGGCCCAAGCCCCGGGCATTTCCTGTGTCTGGAACCTGACTCAGCCTCAGTCCCCGATCTCCCCCAGCACCCCTCCCTCCGCTGGGGCCACGGAATGTCGGGAAAGTCCTCAGGAGCGTTCGGGCTGGTGACTCTCGGGCTATTTGGAGTCTACGGAAGTGTTTCAGGGATTCTAGTTGAGTCTGACTCCTTTCTCTGTGTATGTTTACTGTTGTAGAACTGCAAGAGAAAGCAACCTGGCCCCTCTACGTGCATTCCAGATGGAAGGTTAACCCGCTGAAAACCTGCTACCCTGTTCACTCGCTCCTGCTGAGTCTGTTTAACAGTAGCCTATCCTGGGATCCTTACGGTACGTGAACAGTCCTCACGGACACTTATCTACTTCCTTACTGTACAAGTACAGTTATCTGTCTCCTTACTGTACAGTCAAAAGCAAGAAACAAACCCACGTGATACTCTGCAGGCCGAAGATGCCACGGTGGCTACCCTAATCCCAAATGGCTGTGTGCATCAGGACAGGCCTTGCTGTTCTGTCACTATCTTTTAAGGACGCCTTACAAGTTTGAACAGAACACTTTATACTAATAAAGCACCGCTTTTATTTGCTTTATATATCGCGTTTATTCGTTTGACAAATGAGGAAGCTGAGTTTAGAAAGTGATGTGCCCAAAGCACATTCAGCTACCAGAGAAAGCAGCGGTCTGAACACCCTGCCACGCCAGACCAGGACCCTACCGATCCTGCCGGCTACCGCGGGGTCCCTGTCTTCCCTCATGTCCTGCTGGGCAGACGGAAGCCCTGAGAGGACACGGACAGCCGGCCCGCGAACCCCCTGAGCCTGTGCTCTCACCATCTCTGGCTCAGTAGAGGTCGCTTCTGGTCAGTGAAAGGTGCCGGGACTCTTTTAACAGTGTATGTGGTGGCCAGGACTCCCGACGGGAAGAGGTGACAGGACTGTGCAGGGGAACTCGAACACTTAGGTGCCTCAGAAAGCATCACGGGTGCTTGGTCTCATGGCCACCTCAGTCTGGGACCCACCTCAGTCTGGGACCACAAGACCCAATTATGGGCCAGAGCGAGTGGGGGCAGGGGGGAGACTGAGTCTCCACCTAGCCCCCCCAGCCTGTGAACCAGAGCGAGGGCTGCTGTAAACACCCTCTGGAGGGTGCACCTGTCGACTGATCCACAATCAGGAGCCAGCTTGGCCAGCCCGTCACCTACCAGCCGCCCCTGCAATGGTGAGAGGCTGGGTGGCCTGAGCCTCGGAACTCAAAGGAACCACACCCGGCCCAGGTGTGAGGACACGCAGCTGAAAGCGGGCATTCAGGACTGTGCCTCCCGCGTTCCCCGGGAGAGGATGCCCCCGGACGGGTATGAAAGGGACGCCTGTTTCTCTCGCCAGCCTTCTTTGCGGCTATGTACTTGGAAGGGGGGCCTGTCAGACTTGCCGGCTCAAGATAACGGACCGCCAAACCTCAGTTATCCACAAGTGGATTATCCAACTGGAGGATTCGCTAAGCAAAACTAAAATCTCAGACCAGGCCGACTCCCCCTGCCCATCCCCCATGGATGGCCTCTCCAGGAATGAGAGCTCACCTCAGCCTGGGCAAACAGCGTGAGGAATGTGAATCTGCTGCTGAGAAGAAGACACACAAGCACAACAGCAACTCAGTCACTGTATGGCAAAGCCCACTGGAGCGATGGCAGGCTTTGCTGTGCCAACACTGACCCTTCCTGGCTTAGTCCCCCAAGTTTTCTTGGGGGGGATCTTGAAAGTGTGTGAGTCTGAGTCTAGACCTGCCAGAAGTCCAGAGAACACAGGACATAGAGAGGCTGGTCACATGACCCAGGAGAGAAGGCACAGAGGACAGAGGGGAGACATATCAAAGAAGGGGGGCACCCAGAACCTCCATGCGGGACAACTCGAGGGAAAGGCATTCCAGGAGACAGGGAGAAGAGAGAGGGCCTGATGGGATAAGAGCGAGCCCGCAGGGTGTGATCTGATTGCCGGTGGCGCTTGGCACGGCTGCCCTGCCCACAGCCCTGTGCTTAGGCAGCTGCTAAAGGCCAGGTCCCAGCCCAGCCAGCCTGAGCTGGGGTCACCTCTGCGCATCACCACTCCACACGGAGCCCGATATGCCCACTTCCCCAGCCCACCTCCTGATGCTCTTCTTCCCACGGGTGCAGCAGCTCAGAAACAGAGCCCACGTGGTACCAGGGACGAATGCAAAACAGATGCCCCTGCTGGTTAACCAAGCCCAGGCACACCTGGCTGGCCAGCCCCGCACATGAGAGCCAGCACGTCTTTACCTGCTGGGTCCCCGGAGTAAAGGAGTCTGGCTAGGGGCTGCAGGCAGGGCCCGGCAGGCCTGGGAGAGGGCTGGGATACCCAGGGACAATGATGTCAGTGTTATGACACAAACCAAGGACAAAACACACAAAGCCTCAAATGTTAGAATTAAAACTTTTATCATCACTTGTTACCCCACGGAGCCCGCGGGGGGCTAAAGGGCACACCAACAGGATCCGAAGGGGGGGTGGGGATCTACATACATCTGCTTTATCAGCCCCCAAAGCCATTCGCACGATGGGGTGACCCGATACAAAGCTACTGGTTAGTCTAGTTCCTGAGCAGACCTGCTAATAAACCTCAAAAACACCAAAGTCTAATTCACTAGCCAGAAGTGAGAGCAGGACCTGTCCGAGGGGGAGGGAGGAGCAGGACACGGGGAGGACCCAGGTGGAGACCTCTGGAGGGGCATCACTGCCAGGGTGGGAGGGCGGGGGTGGCCAGGCCCCATTCTAGAAAACCCCCTGCCTTAGGGGAGGTGATGCCAGGGCGAGGGGAAGCACCGGAGCCAGTGGCTTAGCTCCCAGGAATGCACCAACCTCCAAAGTGGCCCCGGCCAGGACAGACACCCAGGGGCACCTGAAGCCTGCGTGGGTGGGGACCAAGGAGCTTCTTGCTCTCCCATCTGGGGCCCCTGAGCTGGGAAAGCTCCGGGTCGCCCTGGGAGGAGCCAGGCATGGCGGGTGGGAACCGCTCTGCTGGCCTCTCCCAAAAGCAAGGGTCTCAGAGCAACCGCCGCTCCCGGTCCCCCCTCCACAGAAAGCCCTGTCCGGGAGCCAGGCTAGCCCACAGGCCACTGGGGAAAGGGCCGGCTGCCCTCGGGGGCAGCCCAGCCCTGCCTCAGGTACCCCGGAGGGCCCGGGCAGAAGAGCGTATTGCCAGAGTGTGCTGGGCCCAGGTTTTCGAGGGCCGGGAAGGGTTTTTTTAGAGAAAGGGAAAAGGCGGTGTCAGGAACCGAATGGGACGACCTCCACAAAGCAGGCTGGGCAAAGTCCCATGATGGCAGGTCGCTAGGAAGAGATTCCAGGGGCGGCAGGCCGCTGCTGCTCCCAACCCACACCTGGAAAAAGGGCAGAGAGTGCAGGTTACCCCCCCAGGCCACCGGGCTCGGCCCCACTGCCCTCTGGTCTCCTCCTACTCTGCCAGGCTCTCAGCGCGCTACCCGGGAGAGTCCACATTGTGCTCTGTGACGAGAAGATCGGAGACGGAGAGAAGGCAACGAGGCACGGATGGACCCCACGGCCCCGCCCCGGGTTAGCGTCCTCTGGAGGCCACCTCGCCTCGCTCACGTGATCACCATCCGCGCTGGCTCCTTGGCCTGCCTACCACACGTCCACCCCCTCACTGCAGGTCTCCCCAAACCCTCCCTCCTTGCCACCAACAGGGTGAAGAGAAGCAGGTTACCCGCCAGAGGCTGCAGTAAGCTACTACCCCACAACTCTGGGCACCAGAGAGGGGAGGTAACCAAGGAGAAGAGAGAGGCGTGTTCTCCATCTGCACAGGAATGCTCAGGGGCCAAGAGAGGAAACTCAAGTTTCTGGGTGCCACAGGGCCCCCAGGTATTACTCAAGCAGACAGACCGAGGGTGAGGACCGTGCCCAGCCTTCCCGACCGCCTGCTACGCAAAGAGCTCACGAGAGGAAACCATCTTGCCCTCCAGGCCTCAGGAGGGTGACACAGGTGCCAGTGCTCCGAGGGAAGACCGCCCACCCTCCCCACCTCCTGCCGACCTCAGGGGACTCCAACTCGGGTCAGGCTGCCTGACAGACAAGGGGACCAGGAGCCCTCTGCAGCCCCTCCCTCCCCACTGGCCTCTGGACACTGCTGAGAACCAGAAGCCGGGCCCAGCGGGAGGCCAGTGCCCCCAGGACAACACGTGAGCCACGTGGCCCACCGTCCACAGAGCTGACCAACACCAGGAAAGGAGAGCTAAGCTAAGCAACACAGGAGACAGGGTGGGAACCAGGACCCGAAAACCAGGAAGGAGGGGACGTCGGCAGTGGCGAGAGGGGGCCGGGGGAAGAACAAAGAAGAGCGGACGGAGCTGGGAGGGACAGAGGAGGTGTGCCAAGCGGGTGGTCAGCCAGCGGCCCCGCACGCCCCGCACGCGCAGCAGCTGGCTGGTGGCTGGGCCGTGAGGACAGCAGCGATCTCCTCCAGCCCCGCGCTGCCCTGGCCGACCCCTACCTGGCACTTGTGAGGCCGCTCGGAGGTGTGCACCTGCTTGATGTGTCCATTCAAGTGATCGGGCCTGGAAGGGAGAGAACCGAGACAGACTTTAAAATCAGACCTAAAAAAAAAAAAAAAAAAAACAACGGGGCCACGCTCTTGGCCAGGCCCCCCCAAACCCCCCATCCCCACCCTGATGGAGAGCACTCCCTCTCCCCCACCCCCCAGCGTGACAAAGACAGCCTCACTCCCCCGCGCTGGCGCCCAGGCCCAGGCCTCTCTGGAGGGAAGGGAAGTGAGTGTTTGTGTCTGACCTTGCCTGCCCACCTCCCTCCCCCCACCAGAAACTCAATGATTTCCAGGACCCTGAGGAGGTGGCTTCAGAATGAGACAAGCTGCCTCGCTGCAGCCTTTCCGGGGAGGGGGTGTGTGGGTGATTCATTGTCCAGACTAAAGCCCCTTAGAAACTCAGCGTTCCCCTCCCCCAGCCTCTCCCTCCCGCCGCCGTGGCAGCCAATGAATGCCACCCAGATGGAATTCAGTCCCCAGAGGCCAAGGGATGGAGCTTTAAGTCCCCAGCTGGGCTGGTAAGCCAGATGCCCGCCAGAGCAGGTGGGCAGGGGTTGCCTGACCGGTAAGACCGGTTCCAGAGCGGGGGGGAGGGGGGGGCCCTCTGAGGGAGTGTTCTCCATCCCCGAGTTCCACACACACAAGGTCCTTAGTATCCAGGCAAGTTAAAACCAGCCTTTTTATCCTGGATATTCCCTTCAGAGGAGAAACAAAACCACCCCCCACTCCCGGACAAGTCGGGGATCCCTAAAAAGTGCATCTCAAAAAAAAAAACCCTGCCCCCTTCCTCTGTGTCCTGTGGGGCCAGGTAGGCTCGGGAGCCACCAGATCCGAGCTGATCAAAGATGTGTTAGGAAGTTAAGACTCTGGGAGCCCAGCTGCGTGCCCGCGAGGGGCAGAGCTGGAGCCCACCGACCTCTGATGGCCGGTGCCGAGCTGTGTGGGCTGGGGGACGTGGTGGCCCAGGAGCGTAAGGAGTCTGAGACACACTTGTTTCTGTTTCAGCGTCTCCCTCCCTCGGCAGGCAGGCAGCCATTCAAGCGGGGAAAGTCGCTGGAGGAGCCCAGCCTCCCGCCCCCAGAGGGGGGGCCCCACGCCTGGTGCCGGAAACACAAAGGAGCCCAGGGAGAAGAATGGTGAGGCCCGGTGGCTGTGGCCTGAGGAATCCGGGGCCCTTCCCACCAGGAGACAGTAGGGCAGGCCTCGTGCCAGAGAACTTCCCTGGGGACGAGAAAGCAGCTTTTGGCCAGCACCATCTCAAAAGCAGGCCCGTTATAAAGCACTCCCCACCCCAGACTGAGGTCCAGTGATCCCCCCCACACTCCCAGATCCTGGCAAGGAGCTAACCCCTGGGGTCAGAAATAGGGCAGGTCACGGGGGGGAGGGGGGCGGGCACCATGCTCACCTGGAGAAGCCTTTCCCACAGCTCTGGCAGATGTAGGGCTTGCCCACGGACCCGTCGTGGGACCGCACGTGGTAGGACATACGGTCTTTTCTCTTGAACCTCAGCCCGCACACGGGGCAGGAGTAGGGCTTCTCCCCCGAGTGGGAAAGCTTGTGCCGGTTGAGATGGTACACGTCGCGGAAGATCTTGCCGCAGATCTCACACGCCACCTGCTTCCTGGTCCGGCTCCTCTTTCTGGGTCCATCGGGGTCCTCGGAGATGGGCAGCCCGTTCTCACCCAGCCTGGGAGGAGGGAGGTCGATGTAGCCCAGCTGGAGGCTGGTGACACCATGCTGGGCCTCGTGCTGCCGGAGCCGGTTGGCATCGGTGAACACCTTCCCGCACAGGCCACACGGAAGGATGCCTGCCTCCCGCAGGCCCCCCGGAGACCCGAACATGGAGTCCAGCAGGTTGGCCTTCCTTGGGCGGCCCCGGCCTCGTTTGCCAGTCAGGGCAGGGGCACTGGATGCCACGTTGGGGAATGGGGAAGTCAGCAGTTGGGGGGACAGGGGTCCGGCCACCATGGGCAAGCGGTCCACCCCAGGTAACACAGGCAAGGAGGCCTGGCCGGCAATGGCCGCACCAGCTGCCCGAGCCGCCTCCTCCTCGGGCTGCATGCTGCCTGCAATGCCATTGCTGTTGGCCGCCAGGGCTGCCCCGTTGGTCATGTCCAAAGGGAAGCCCAAGTCTGAGGTCCCGGGGGGACGAAAGAGCATGATGTCAGCGCGGGCAGGGGGCACCAGGATCTGCACATTGGACTGTTTGATGACTTCCTGGCAGATCTCGATGACCGACCTCATCAGCAGGAACTTGGCAGCCGTCATGAGCTCGGGGAAGCTCTCCAGGCGAACCACGATGCGAGAAGTGTAGGCGAAGTCCAGAATGTCCCCGAACACCTTGGAGCTGATGGTGTGCATCTCCAGCTCCCGGCTGCCCCCGGCGCCGCCGCCCGCGGCCGCCGCCGCGCCCCCCACGTCGGCGGGACCCCCGTCCGCAGTGCCGCCATCGCCCAACTGGGCGCTGAACACCGACTCGAAGTACTCGCTGCAGGCGGCCAGCACGGCGCGGTGCGCCGGGAAGCTCTCGTCTCCCACCCGCAGGAGCACGTCGCAGAAGCGCCCGCCGTTTTTGCGCTGCTGGTTCAGGTTGTGCAACATCTCGGTGCTGTGCCTGCTCACCTGGTAGGTGTAGCAGCCCGACGGGCCGCAGGACGCGTCGTTCACCCGCTCCATGTCCGCCGCCCCCTCCCCGCACACCCGGCCGCGCGGCTCTCGCCCGCCCCTTTCCCTTCCCCTTCCCCTAGGCAGGAACAAGAGGGGCGCAGCGGACGTGTCTACACTCCCCACACGTGCCGGCCCCGGGGCTCTGTAGTCTCGCAGGTGCGCCGAGCGCACACGCCCCCTGCCCGGATCGTACCGTCTAGACTGCAGGGCGCACCACCCCCCACATAGCGGCCCCTACCCCCGCCGGATCGCGCGCTCCTCCTCTCCTCTCCTCTCCTCTCCTCTCCGCCCGCCCGCCCGCCCGCCTCCCCTTCTCGGTCTACCTCCGGGGGGGGGGGAACAGCGCACAGAGGTGCGCCCCTCCTGCCAACTCGCCTGCCGCCTCCCCTCCCGCCCGCCAGGCGGCGCCGGCGCGCAGCCAACAGGGGCGCGCGCGCGCGCGGGGAGGAGGAGGGGTCCGCCGCGCAGGCGCGCCGCCGCGGCTTTCCCCGGGCCGCTGGGGGCGCGCGCTGCGTCCCCTGCAAAGCGCGAGCCGGGGCGGGGGCGCCGGAGCGGAGGAAACAAAAGGCGAAGGCGGCGGCGGCGGGGCGCGCAGCGGCGGCGGCCCCGGCTGGGTCCCGAAGCCTGGCGGGCGGCGGCGGCGGCGAAGGCTGCAGCGGGCGGGCGGCGGCGGCGGCGGCGGCTGGGTGGGCCCTTCCCCGGGCCGGGCGGAGGCGGCGGCGAGCTGCGGCCCCGGGCTCCGTGTGTTCGGAGCGGAGGAAAGATGGCAGCGGCTGCACTTCCTCTTGCACTTTCACCCCTGGGGGGAGGAGAAGGAGGGGGCGATACCAACAACACCCCCCCTTCTCGCTTGCAGGAAAAAAAAAAAAAAAAAGAAAAGAAAAGGCGAGCTCGGTGTGGGGGCCCCCGGTGCCCCCGGCCCTGCACGTGCGCACCCGGATCCCCGGCACCGGCCGCCCCGCGCTGCAAACTTTCCACTTTCTTTGTGCCGAGCGCCCCCCCCTCAGCGAGCGAGGATGCACGTCCCCCCTTCCCTATTTATACACCCCCCCCCCGCCGCCGCTCCCCCCGCTTCCTGCCCCCCCTCCCCATTCTCCAGCTCCGCCAATGCTAGCGCGGCTGAGCCCCCGTCCGGCCCCCGCCTCCCCACCCCACCCGCGGGGCCAGGGGCTGCAGCCTCGGCCCCCCCGGACCAATGCAAACGAAGCGCCGAGCCAGCAAACCAGGTCCCACTGCCCCTCCCTCCCTCCCTCCCCGCCGAAAAGTGGCCATGTGTGCGGGCCGGTGGGGGAAGGGGGACCGAGGGGCGCAGATGTGGGCCCCCGGTCCCGGCTTTCGATGTGCACCCGTAAGGGAAACGGGCTTCGGCCGCCGCTCAGAGCCCACCTTTGATGCGCGGAATACCCACCCACAAGTCGCCTTCCCGCTCCCAGCCCTAGAGAGCCCGGGGGCCTGGCTGGGGGGCAGGCCGAACCTCCGGAGCTGCCCCTGCACCCCGCGCACCCACAGATCCGAGGGGGCTGGGGAGGAGAGGCCATCGTCCCGGCTCCCCCCCCCCCCCCGACCCCGCGCCGAGCCCGGTGCCCGGGGAGCGGACAGGCAGCAGCACAGGCGCAGGGGCGATGGGCAGGGGCAGGGGTCGGCGCGCACCCCAGCACCGGGCCCTGGAGAAGTGAGGGTGCCGGGGGGCCTGGGGAGCTCCCTCCGGCCCGCTGAGGCCGCAGCATCCCCGGCGGCCCCGGAGCGCCCGGGCCACAGGCCCCGCGGGCAGGCCTGGGCGCTTTGTCCCGGCTCCGCCCGGGAGGGCGCCGCGTGCGGGCGGGACCCTGAGGTCCGGCTGCCGCCGGGGAGACGCCGCCGCCGTTGGGCACCGGGGCTCGGAGCTCCGAGCTGCGGGCGCCGCGTGTGCGGGCGGGAAGTTCCCACAGTCGCAAAGAAGGAGCGAGTGTGGGTTCCAAACTTTCCACGGTTCCCAACTCCAAACCGAGCGCTTCCATTAGGAGCCGCGGAGGAGGGGGCGGGGAGGGAGGGGAGGGGAGGGGAGGGGGGCATTCTGGGGATCCGCGTGCAAAGGATCCGGCCCGGCTCCCAGCTCCACTCGGGATTCCCGCCGCCGCCGCCTGCCCGCTCCGCGCCGGGCCACGCGCGCCTCGGGGGCTTCCACGGGTGCCGCCGAGGGAGGACCCGAGTTCGAGAACCCCGCCTCCGGGTTACTGTGGTCTGGCTCCGGCCAGAGGGCCTCTCTGAGCCTCTGGGTTAAACAGTTCCCCCCCCCCCCCCCCCCGATGTGTACGCTGGCGATGGCAGCACCTGTCTCAGGAAGGCAGGATCCGAGGGTCTTTGCGTGGCACCCAATTCTGGGCTGGATGCCTCTCCTTGCACACCTCTCCCTTCCCCGGGCGTAGTGGGTGCTAAAAGCCTGTTGGAGAGAGAGAAAAATGAAGCTTAGAAACTGGACCCGGAGCCAGGCTATTTGTGTTTGTTCTAAGCCACAACGTGCTGTGTCGCCTCAGGCTACTGCCTTAACCTTCCTGAGCCAGAGCTCAGAGACTCTTGGGTGGATTCTAGAACCGCAGTTTTTCGTGTGTGTGTGTGTGTGTGTGTGTGTGTGTGTGTGTGTGTTCCAGAGTGCTGCAGGGAGCAGCCACAGAGAGAGATGAAAGGGATTGAAGTATTGAGGGCCTTTTGCCGAACGCACATCCTCCCTGCGAGGTGGACACAGCCATGTCCATTCTACCCACGGAAATGGGTGACCTGCCCAAGGCCAGACAGTACCCCACCCGGTTAACCTGAGTACGCCCCTGCCTCACCCGTGGCTTCTGACCCTGCTTACTGGCTTGGCTCCTCCGGAAAGGAAGGACTGGCTCTCCGTCTGCTGCGCTTGGAAAAGGGTGCGGGCCCTAGCCAGTGTGGTTCCTTCCTGGTCAGGGCACATGCCCAGGTTGCAGGCTCAATCCCTGGGGGGGAAAAGGGGGGGGGGCTGTGACAGGCTTCATCCCAGAGGGTCCACCCTATGACGATAGGTGCCCGTTGCTCTGAGGGAGAGGGCGATGCATCAGCCCATTTTGCAGACGGGAGGCCTGAGGCTGAGGGAATCTGAATGCGGTACAGCCAGAGGCAAACCCATACTCCAGCTCTGCACATGGTATTCTCCCTGCATGTCACCTTGGCAGCATGCCTGCACAGGAGGACTGCAGTGACCTCTCACCTTCCTCCATGACCCCACCTTCAGTCCTGCCCATCTCTTAGGCTCCCAGAACTCCATTCTGTAACGTCAGGCTTCCAGGCATTCTTAAAGGACTTTTTTTTTTTTTTTTTTTTTTTGTAACTAAAGTGATATTCACACTAAATATAACCATTTTAAGGTGTAATCCAGTAGCACATATTACATTCACAATAGGTGCAAACACGACCTCTATCAAGTTCCACAACATTTTTGTTGGTGGTCGGCAAACTGCGGCTCACGAGCCACATGCGGCTCTTTGGCCCCTTGAGTGTGGCTCTTCCACAAAATGTCACGTACCCTAATTAAGTGAATAACAATGTACCTACCTATGTAGTTTAAGTTTTAAAAATTTGGCTCTCAAAAGAAATTTCCATCATTGTCCTGTTGATATTTGGCTCTGGACGGATGAGTTTGCCGACCATTGTGTTAACCCCAACGAAAATTGCCACACTCCCCAGTCCCCCCTCCAGCCCCTGGCAACCAGCAGTCTGCATTCTGTCTCTAAGGGTTTATCTGCTCTGGATATTTAATATAAATGGAATCAAAACATATTGGGACTTTTTTAATAAAGATATTTTATTGATTTTTTTTTACAGAGAGGAAGAGAGAGGGATAAGAGAGCTAGAAACATCAATGAGAGAGAAACATCCATCAGCTGCCTCCTGCACACCCCTCACTGGGGATGTGCCCGCAACCAAGGCACATGCCCTCAACCGGAATCGAACCCAGGACCCCCCCCCCCGGTCCGCAGGCCGACGCTCTATCCACTGAGCCAAACCGGTTTCAGCAATATTTGGACTTTTGAGTCTGGCTTCTTTTACTTCCCATAGTTTGTATCAGTACTTCATTTCTTTCTATGGCTGAATTCCATTGTGTGGGCACACCTTCTCTTTATTCATCCATTCATGGCCTGTAGGCTGTTGTGAATAGTGCTGCTATCAATATTCGAGTACAAGTATTTGTTTATGTACCTGTTTTCAATTCTCTTGGGTATATACCTACAAGAGGAATTGCTGAGTTGTATGACAATACTAGGTTTAACTTATTTTTTTAAATACATTTTATTGATTTTTTTACAGAGAAGAAAGGAGAGGGACAGAGAGTTGGAAACATTAATGAGAGAGAAACATCGATCAGCTGCCTTCTGCACACCTCCCACCGGGGATGTGCACGCAACCAAGGTACATGCCCTTGTCCGGAATTGAACCCGGGACCCTTAAGTCTGAAGGCCAACGCTCTTATCCACTGAGCCAAACCGGTTAGGGCAGGTTTAACTTTTTGAGAAGTCCTCAAACTGTTGAAAACAGCAGCTGCAACCATTTCACATTCCTACCACACAGGTGTTTTTGCAAGTAGTTTTAGAGCTTGTTAAACCTCCCATTTTATGAATGAACATGCTGGGGCCCAGAGGGATTAAGTACCTTGTCGAAGGTCACACAGCAGGGTCCAGACTAGAACCAAACTTACCTGAGTTTCTGGCTTTCCGTCCACTAAGAGCCTTTGACCCTCCATCAGAGATCCAACTACCTGCCCGAGTTGTTTGACCAACCTGACCAGCGATCAGCTGAGTTAACCACATTTATGAAGTTCCTTTCCCCCCTCGACATCTGTGGAAAAGCCCACTACAATGTTCTCAATTTCCGGGCTGCACCTTGAAAAGATGCAGAGCTCACAACCCCTGTGTCTGTCTCCTGCTGCCGGCCTGGCTGGCCCTCTTCTGTTGTCATGGAAACCACGCACCTCCGTTTTGGCAGTGCACCAGCTGGACAAGGAACTGAGAGCA